AAGATGGAGAGAATGTAGGGGCAGCCGAGTAGGAGAAGCAAATGCCTGTCTCAGGGCTCCTTCTTACTGCGGTCATGCTCCTTACATATGAAAATGCAGCTTTCCTGTTCGATGTCGTCCACATCTCTTCTCTCCCTGCTAGATTCTCGCCCCACCAACACATGCTGTCTAGGGTTCTCAGCATGTGACGTATGAAGCGGGGACCTCATCTTTTTCTTAGTTGGTGTATATCTCACACATATACACATTACTAACAGTTCTATGAATCTGTTGCAAGTTGCACCATTTGTTGCACAGACAAGAGACGGATTTCTAATGAGCGTCTACGACCCTCTTTATGAATTCCAGGACTGAGGAATAGGATTTGATGGCACACATTTCCAGTGACACTCCATGACACTGTAGACCAGCCAGTAAGCCCAGCATAAGTTCAAAATATTTACAACCATGCACGAAGCCATGCACAACTCTGCTCCCAGCTACATCACCAACCTGGTCTCCAAATTTCCCCCAAACCATCCTCTCCGCTCCTCACAAGTCCTCCTGCTCTCTAGTAGTGATGTCCATGGGCTTGCAGTGAACCAAGCTGGCTGGAGTTCATTCAAGCCTGCGACTGACCCCTACAATCAGTTGTGGCAGGGGCATTACCCGCTACTGGGAGGGGAATGCCCTTGCTGCAACTGATTGGGTCAGTCAGAGTTTTTAATGGGCTTGGGTGAACTGGGTTCACACTAAGCCCCCGCTCAAGATTAGAGATGAGGCTGGGCTTGGTGTGAACCCAGTTTGCCCAAGCCCACTGAAAACTGTCCCCTCCTCCCAATCCAATTTATGGCGTCAGTTGTGACGGGGGCATTGCGGATCCCTGTGACGTGTAGCTGTGGGGTGGGGAGTGCACATCTCCACAACTGATTGGGTGGGGCGGAGGGGGTGGCGCAGGCTTGGGTGAACTCAGGTAAACTTGGGTTAAGCTGCCTCATCGCCTCCTCCCATGCTCAATCTCTGGACTTCTCCAGAGCCTTTCCCATCCTCTGGTACTCCCTACCCCGACCTGTCCGCCTATCTCAGGGGTGGCCAAATCCAGGCCCTCCAGCTGTTGTGGAACTACAAGTCCCATGAGGCAAGACTGACAGTTACAGGCATGCCTCCCATAGGCATGTTGGGATTTGTAGTCAATGCACAGCTGGAGGGCAGGAGTTGCTCAGCCTAATGAACTGAACTATTACTTTCTCCACCACCTTTGGTGTCACTCGCCCTTCGTTTTAGACTGTAATCTCTTATGAGCAGGGCCCTTCTTGTCTCGAATTGTATTATATTGTAAAGTGCTGCATAAACTGTTGGCGCTCTATAAATCCCGTATACTAATAATAAGTATTATGTCCTGTATGTGCACAGCTTCTTTGTAACCCAGCAGTGAGCACGGCCTCCACCAACACCCGGCTCTGGTCCCGTGAATTATGAATGTGTGTCAGACCCTGGCAGAGGATGTGTGAGGAAAAAGAAAAAAAAAAAAAGTGCCTGAGTCTCCCCTCCCCCTTTGTCTCTTTTAAGACGGGCCCCTGGGCGGCCTTGCGCCGAGCGCTCGGGGTTGTGCTTTGCAGACGTTCCCTGGTTGGGGTGTGTTGTGTATTGGCAGTGGGGCGGCTCCGACTCCCTGACGCCAGTGAGACCAGATCAATCCAGGCTGCCGTGCAGGAGGAGGAGGAGGGAGCCTCTCATCCCGGGCTGCTGCTGGAGGCATGCGAGCGGCTTCTCTGCATCGCTGTACACCCCGACCCGCTGCTCGGTGACTGATCGCACGGCAGGGCAGGAGGTAAATGAGCAGGAGAGATCGGGGAGGGGGGTCCCGGTATAGGAGACACGGCTCCGCTAGGAGCTGCTCCAACTCCGCCTTCGGCCTCTGTCTCCGACTCTTGACTTTACAAAGTAGTTTTATTGGGCGGCATGGCACAGCCCGCATCCCCTCCAGATGTCCAGCATAGGTAAAGTGAGGGCTTGGCTGGGACTTGTAGTGAGCCTTTGGGAGCAGCAATCCCAGTCCAGGCTATGCTGGGTGACTCCACAGCGCTCCCCCGTATCCCGGCAATGAGTCAGCCCGGGATAGTGGGAACTTGTGCTTTGGGATCCTGGAAAGAAGATGGGAAGGGGGAGAGGTGGGGGTAGAGTGATGGCGCCTGCAGTGCACAGAAGCCCTTGTGTGTGAGGATCTCTCCCCCTGGAAGGAGCGAGCACCGTCCATTCCCACCACATTGCTACACTAGTCTGGCCTGCCTGCTGCTTCTCACTCTTTCCTCACTTCTTCTTCTGGATACAATGTTGCCATCACAGTAGAAGTTTCGAAGTGAAGTGTATCTAAACACAAAACGCATATATTGCACTTTACCAGAATGGTGTCTCACTGGCCGTCCTGCCGCTAGCTCCAAATCGCCAGCTGTGGGATCGCTAACAAGCTGTCCCTATGGATGCCCTAAACCCCTATGCTGAGGCAGCCAAATGTCAATGATGGTGATTGAGATTCGCCAATGTTGGGACCAGTGAGGAAGCAATTCCCTAGGGACTGACCTCGTCTTGGCTTTTTTATTGGCTTAATCGCCCGTGTGACATCAGCCTTGGATCTGGTGGCTGCGTTTAGTTTCCTTTTACTTTTGATTTACCTGCCAGTAACACACTTCTGTCTAAGGCTGACAACGCTCACTGTACTGTATCTATGGAGGAGCACAGTTGTCACCCTAGACTGCACTCCTAATTCGGACTACAGACGCTTCTCTATGATCCTCTCCAAAACATGGGGGGAGCTTACAGATGGTTTAGGAAGCTGGTGACGTTGTTTGAGATTTCAGTTGAGTCTGCAGGAAGTTCCAAAGACACCAGCTTTCTATTGGGATCAACTTGGGCTGTAAAGTGAAAACAAATGCATCCACCACATCGAAGTTCTGGAAAGCTGCAATATACGCCATTTTCTTTCTTGGGTTTAGAACTCCTTTAATGGGATAGACTGAGACATGCGTTTCCTTGAAGAGAGGATTGCTCCTTTTTTATTTCTTCCCCACTCACTGTTATGTCTTTGTGAAGACACCTTCCTGTCTAGTGTGAGCCGTCAGATGTCCAGTATGATGTGCCTCGGGTAGATTAGTACACTGAGAGCAGTCTGTGTTGGAATTGGCATGGCCAGTGTCTGCGGGACGGCTAGTCATCAGTAGAAGGCTACTACAGACAAAAAGGGATTGGTGCGATCGGCGAGTACGATTTTCGGGTGATTACCCTGCGTTGGAATATGACTGTCTGGGCAGATGTTAGCCTGCAGTGTGTTGCATCAGTCGGGAAGCTGCTTCAGATTGTCCCTGGAGAAATGTTTGCAAGCTTTTGGCTGCTCTGGTTACTGTGGCAATCATCGGAGGCCTTTGTGAGTTTCTTGTCATCCTGAGCTATTCACTCTCACGGGAGAGGTGCTTGAAGTCAGGATTGGGTTACTTCTGAGGGCATGGGCTGTCCTTGCCTTGCTGTCTGACCTCTTACAGTAGGTCTAAACCCTGACCAGATGATGTTTAGTGTGCTAAAGCATGCCGTATTAACAATTGCCGGTAAATGTTCTCTTTTTTTATACATCTGTGTGCTGCTGATCTCCTCCTGTCTTCCAGACACTTGTCTACATGTACTCGCCTCATTGTTGGCTACATGTGGTCAGTAAAGCGGTCCTGAGCAATTATAAATGTGGGTCGTGCCTGCCCAATGTGTGTCAGCATGGCTGCTTGTAGTCTCCACCGGGAGCACATGTGAAAGGGTGACAACACAGGATTATAATTGGGAGACAGTTGTCACGTAGCAGAAAGTGCCTGACCAAGGACTTTGTCTCTTTTGGTGAAAGCTGGAGATTTAAAGATTGTAAACAACTTTTGGAGAGTTATGAACATGTTAATGTGTTTTTTTTAGAGAGTTTTGTGATTTGGGTTTAGCACATTTACGGGAGTCCAAACATTTTGTATATTGTGACTAGCCAACCCTTAGAAGTGGTGGCTGTATGAGTTTTCTTGTTTTTTTTTTTTGGGGTGGGAGGGAGACTTTCCTTTTTATTTTCACCTGATGATTCTGCCAATAACATACTTCCTGTCCTAGGGTGACAATTAGGGATGCACAGATACCATTTTTTCAGTATAGAGTACCGGTATGTTGTTGATTCGGTACTCGCTGGTACCAATACTGGTGCTTCCGATGGCATTGAACCGGATGACATGCCGCCCGGCTTCCTGATTGCCCGGCAAGCTAGCTCCATATTTGGCAAGCTCGATTGTGATTAGCTGGAAAATCAGCTTCCCAGCCAATTGGAGGAGGCAGGTAATTACTCGCCCCCCAGCTTTCTGCCCGGGAAGCTGGCTCCATGTTCCCGTACAGCACTGGTATCACAGCATTTGGGCAAGTACTCGTACGTGCCCAAATACCCAGTATGGGCCCCCGATATTGATAATAGTATCGCTATCTGTGCATCCCTAATGACAATGCTTACTGCACTGTATCTATGGAGGAGCAGTGTGGTCATCCTAGGCTGCACTTCTGATGACTACAAACGCCTCCCCCTCCCCTAATCTTCATTAATCAGAGAGGCTTTGCTCTGTATAGCTGAAGAAGCTGATAACATTGTTTGAGATTTTTAGTTTAGAATGAGGACCCCAGATTTGTGACGTGATCAACTGGTATCTTTCTATACTTGCATAAAATATACTTGGCCTTCAAGCAGGGCTGGACAATCCCCAGAAGCCAGGCCGCCAATGCTCCTTAGGTATAGCCTGTTCCTAACTTTTAAAGGTCTTCTTTAGCTGTCATCAATCAAGCCCCCCCAAAAAAAATAATCCTGCTGTTTATACAGACTGGCTCCTGAATTCCATATTATTTCTGTCTACCTCTGCCTTAAATTATATTTCTAGGCAAAATGTTTTCCTTGCTTTTGGGTTGATTGGGAAGTTTGAACCCCCAGTTAGCTTTTGCTGCTATCTGACATTTATTCTTACTTCCTGTCCTGCGGACAACGTATTGCCAGACATAAAGTGAGGGGATCTCTCCAACAGCAACACAGACTGAAAAATGACTTTTCAGTATAATAGGGGGAAGACTACAAGTACTATCGGTTACAGATTCCATTCAAGGATCAGGTCTGGATGACATTTTCATGATTTGAATGGATCTAGTTGAATCCATGCAGGCAAGATTGAATGCTCTGACAAATGAGATGGAACGAATGTTCAAATGAAATGTGTATGCACTCTCATACATGCCTGAGCTTGGCAACGTTGGCTGTGTTCAGGCCGGCCCTTCTATCCTCACCATAACCCATTGATGGAGAACCCTAAGGCCTGGTTCACACCTGGGCGTTTTACAGCGCGTTCCTACGCTCTGTAAAACGCTCAACATGTGAAAACCAATGATTGCCTATGGGCATGGGTCCCACCTGGGTGTTTTACAGAGCGTAGGAATGCGCTGCCAAACGCCCTATGCCCAAAGAAGTACATGAGCTTCTTTGGGGCGTATTTGCCGCGCATATCCACTGGGATACAGCCAGGTAGCCCTTGGAAACGCGTTGTTGTTTACCGCGAATCGCGTTAAAAATGCGTGACAAACGCGCATATTCGATATGCCTAGGTGTGAACCCAGCCTTACTCTCTGCTCATGGGTAAGCCGTACACAGACGGCAACATTTATCAATTCTGTCCCTCAGCAAGACATGCTCCTAAATAGGAGCAGCGAGACATTCATTATCATTCTGAAGCTTCATCCATAAATTCCTCTCCAAGCTGCTCTGAAATGTGACAATAAAACCTGACCCCAAACACTTCTTAATTCTCTGTCTTACCTTCACTGGCCATTCTGTCCCAGACCAGTGAACCAATTTTGGTAAGGGTATGGGGTTTTGCATGTTGGGGATTTTAGACTATCAATGTAAGTTGGCTGCCCCAGACCAATGCCACTATGACTCTTCTCTGCCTAGGATTCCAGGTGCTGGCATGGCAAAGATTTCCCATGTAATTCTTATGGGAAGTTTATTAATTGGCGTTATTGGTTAGTTTTCCATGCTATACTACCTTATTGACAAAAGGCTACATTATTGACTATCCTAGTTCTTATATTAGACCTGGTCCAGATACTTTGAAATTGGTGCTCAGTAGGTGTTTCTTAAAGGAGAACTATGAGGCGAGTGCTTTTCACTCACCTCATAGTTCTAGCCGACCTGTGACAATGAGACTGTCACAGGTCGGCTCAGTAGATCGGGAGGTGAGCGAACACATACCAGGTTCGCTCACCTCTCGATCCTGTCACGGCTCTCTGCCGTGACAGGGGGAGGGGCTGGATTCCCCTCTCCCCGCTCCGATCTGCCAGCGCTGACTGGCGGAACGGACGGGGGAGGGGGCGGGTACAGCTGGCTCTGCTTCTAGATAGGCAGAGCCAGCTGTCACTCACGCAGCTGGGCGGATCCCGTCATCTACGTCGGGATCCGCTCCGGCGTCTCAGTATACCACGAGCTGTAGCTCGGGGTATACTGAGCTTAGGGTAACGGGAGGACGCTAGTTTGTGTCCTCCCGTTACCCTAAGGAGAACTATGGGGAAAAACACTGACCCCATAGTTCTCCTTTTAAGGTGACCCCATTGAATCCCTACCCATACTATATCTTGTACATTTACACTTGCTGAACTTGGCTTTGCTTAGCAATGACGTTGGACTCATAGCAAACTGAGAAAGTCCTTTGGCTTTTATTGGTTCCTCTTGTGGCGGCTTGTCAGAAGAGCATTTTGAAACCAATGAATGCTTCCTTGATGTATAGGTAT